TAGGCGTACCTTTTTTCGGTGGGTACCGTACGGTTCACGCACCTATTTTTTCTACTTTGGTACGGTATTTTTTCTACCGTCGTACCAAATTCGCACCTCATTTTTTCTATCGTTGTTCCATATTCGCACACCATTTTTTCTACAATCCTTCTATATTCGCACACCATATTTTCTCTCTTCCCACACTTTTTTTTCCTACCACCTTTCTGTGTTTGTAAACATTTTTTCCGACTAACCTTTCTGTGTTTGTAAACATTATTTTTCTCTGTTTGTAAACATTTGTTCCTACCAACCTTTCTGTGTTGTAAACATTTTTTTTCTGTGTTTGTAAACATTTTTCGTACCAACCTTTCTGCGTTTGTAAACATTTTTTCCTACCATCGTTCTGTGTTTGTAAACATTTGTTTTCTGTGTTTGTAAACATTTTTCCTACCAACCTTTCTGTGTTTGTGAACATTTTTTCGTACCACCTTTCTGTGTTTGTAAACATTTTCCTTTCTGTGTTTGTAAACTTTTTTCCTATCTGTTTGTGCACCACCTTTCTGTGTTTGTAAACTTTTTTCCTATCTGTTTGTGCACCTTTTTTCCACCACCTTTCTGTGTTTGTAAACATTTTTTCGACGTGACTCTCGCACGGTCCCAAACCGTCTCCATAATAACTTCGGTCAAGGCAGTGACTCAATAAAATTCTGACACCAGAAATATTCTCCGACTACTAATTCTTTAACACCAGTAGAAACTACTATGTATTCTATTAGTAAACCATATATAACCTATTCATCACTACTTATATAGCTTTAATTGTCATAGAAAATGTTGGACACGTAATATTTTCATGCACACTCAATAATCCAATCCCTCCCAAACTTACTCTACTATCTTATACACTATATCTAAATCCAGGCCTATGCTTATCTTTACAATTACTTTACTTCTTGAGCTAGTTTATGGGAGCTTCTTCCCCTCATATCCACCCCCATTGCTTCTCAGCCCCTGGGATCCATCACCCCTTATTCCCACGATCATCTTATCACTTTTTCACCCACCCTTCTTTTTATTTGTATTCATTTTCCTTGTCTTCCCATGGTGGTGCAACCTCGCAAAGATTTTGCTTCCGAATTAGGAAATTCTCGCACGTGAGCATTTTTAATTTTTGCGAGATTTCTCACGTGAGTACTTTTAATTTTTGCGAGATTTCTCACGTGAGTACTTTTAATTTTTCCGAAGTTTCTCACGTGATTATTTTTAATTTTTGCGAGATTTCTCACGTGAGTTTTCGCACGTGAATTTTGTCATGTGAAATCTCATGTGACGCGAGCACGCGACAAAATTCACGTGAAATATGACGTCATCAAGGTCACCTGACAAACGTGCATCTTTTTTCGCCAGTTCGCACGCCCTTTATCTCCGCGAAAACGGCCTTATTTCCGGCCGCTTTTCTTGCTTTCCCCAACTTTTGCAACCTTCTTTTTTTCCACTTATTGATATGGAAACCATCGGTCTAGGGTAATCTGGGGTGGAGAACACCCCTGGTGGTGTTAATTTTTCATCTGCACCACTCCTTCCATTACCGAAATCTCCGAAATCTACCCCTTCTGACAATTCATTTTTATTCTTAATAGTACTACTCTACTTTCTGTAAAAAACTTACAATTTCTTTTATTTTTTTATATCTCCAGAAATATTTCTCCAGTCGATTAACTAACCACACAGATAAATTCCCCGACCTCACTTTACCCTTGGACCAGCTTCTCAACTCACCAATCCTTCTCTATCGTGAGTTAGTCCCACCAGACACATCATATCCCCCTGAAAAATAACAAATTTCGGTTGCGGCCATATCTAGCAGAAAGCACCGTTTCCCGTCCGATCAACAGTAGTTAAGCTGCTAAGAGCCTGACCGAGTAATGTAGTGGGAGACCATACGTGAAACTCAGGTGCTGCAATCTTTTTTTGCTAGACAACCACCATAATAAATTATACCATTGGAATCTACAAAACGAGCTCTATCCAATGGTATCACTTGTAGATAGGGTTGTTTAAGAAAAAGTGTAAGAGGTGGGGGGTACCTTATATGGTATCTTTTTTTTGGTGATATTACTATGTGTTCGATTCGGGGTTGGACCAGGAATATTTTTGTGGTTCATTTGCCGAGAACTCTCTATTTTTAGAATCTCATCGATATTTGGTTTTTTCTGTGTGGCTTACTTTTCCGAGTGTCCAATAAAAATTGGTGCATTCGGTATGAGAAATTTTGAAATTTTTTTCTTCCCACCAAGTAACCCACCATAGTATTCAACGTCCCCCATCACCAAATATATTTAAACAACCTGTCTATATACTTCTACATCTACATCTACAAGACCATGGCTATCATCTGATACTACCATCTCCCAAATCGTCTACCAAAAATTCCCCCCACCCTCATTGGAAATCCCCCCATACAAAATTCACCACCCACTATGTATCCCCCACCAACTCCTCCCACACACCTCCAACCCCCAAACAAATGGGTATCTACGTGTTCCCCTTGACGTCCTCTATCCATTTCCACCACCCTCCGACTCCCCCCTCCACATCCCACCGTCCTATCAATATCCTGCTGCACCTCCCTCCCCATCGTAGCACAAAAAAGATTCCTCGTTTAAAAAATCCCGCTCGCATCGCGGCTCATCTTCGTCAAGCGAAAAAATTTTCACTCCCTCAGAATATATAATCCTCAGATTTCCCACTTCTTTTTTTCGTCCCCAGATTTTCCACATCACATTCCACCACACTTGAGGTCTGACCTACCAAGTCACCCACCTCCTGTCTCCCCCTCCCCCTCATCCTCTCACCGCGCTCCTCACCTCTCACTCCTCTCCGTAGGGCTTCGGCCGCCCCATCGGGGCCCTGTAGAATACCTATACTATAAAAAACCGGATTTGAAGTGAGGAGAAGATCCTTTCGCGCCGTTCCGAGCGAAAAGTTACCCGGCTGGTTGTCTTAGCCGTGGGAGCAATTTCCACCGGTTTTTCAGTAGCAACAAGTATGTCACGTGAAGTTGTGACTGCTTTTTTGGGGGCTTGGGGGAGAATTTTACTAACAAATTTTCCCATACAAAATGCGCTACCATGGGCCCCTAAGAAATTTTCCCATACAAAACCTCCTAACAAATTCTGCTAACAAATTTCACCATACATTTTTTCTTTACCAACCTTTAAGCCAAATCCGATCTCAGGAATTCAGACCCACTAATAGATGAAGTATACCATGTGTATTTGTGCAGCTGCACTACCATATATTTTTCCCATACAAAATTTGTTAGCAAATCTCTTAACAAATTTCCCCATACAAATTCTACTAACAAATTTCTCCATACAATTTCTCTTTACCAATCTCATTTCCAAACCCCATCTCAGGAAATCAGACCCACTAATAGATGAAGTATACCCTATGGATTTGTGCACTTGCACTACCATACAAAGTTTGTTAACAAATCTCTTAACAAAATCCCCATACAAAATCTCCTAACAAATTTCCCCATACAAATTTTACTAACAAAATCTCCTAACAAATTTCACTAACAAATTTCACTAACAAATTCTCCCATACAAATCTACCATACAAATTTCACCATACATTTTCTCTTTACCAATCCTATTCCCAGATCCAATCTCAGGAAATCAGACCCACTAATAGATGAAGTATACCCTATGGATTTGTGCACTTGCACTACCATACAAAGTTTGTTAACAAATCTCTTAACAAAATCCCCATACAAAATCTCCTAACAAATTTCCCCATACAAATTTTACTAACAAAATCTATTAACAAATTTCACTAACAAATTTCACCATACAATTTCTCTGTACCAATGCTATTCCCAAGTCCCATCTCAGGTAATCAGACCCACTAATAGATGAAGTATACCCTATGGATTTGTGCACTTGCACTACCATATATTTTGCCCATACAAAATTTGTTAGTAAATCTCTTAACAAATTCCCCATACAAAATCTCTTAACAAAACTGCCATACAAAATTTACTAACAAATTCTCTTAGTAAATTCTGCTAACAAATTCTCCTAACAAATTCTCTTAGTAAATTTCTCTAACAAATTCTCCTAACAAATCTCTTAACAAATTTTACTATGGATGGTCTCCCACCGAAATGAGAGACCACAACTCCTATTGAACTGGTGTGATTTAACATTAAAACGTAATTCAAACTCCATATCATAATTAAAATTAAAATATGGAGCCCGAATTATATTATACAAGGTTAGATACACGCTTATAAGAACCTGAGCCTCATCTGCTGTTCTTTTATGAAGTCATTTTTGCATCTTTGCAAACGTTTATTGATTTTTCTCGATGGGGTCTATTTCTCAAGATTAAATAATATGTACAACAAGCAGTACGGAAAGCTTTCCTTGTTGTCCAAAATAATGCAAGCTGGAGTGTCCATGGCAGTTAATTGCGGGTAGATTTGCTGGTGAAACCAATTGTGTAGGATAAGTTGCCTGGGCATTGTTTCGTTCGTCACATCTTCGATTGTTGCTGAAGCAGAATATCATCATAAAATGATCCAACATTCACAACATGCCATCACATCAGGATTATTTCAAGTTGATTCAGTCAAGTTACAATCTTCAGTTCATTTGATTGCCAGCACTGTGTCGAGCAAAAGCATGACTCCAGATGTTGGATTTTCCAGTGAATTGATTTGGGGGGCCGGCTCATCCAAAGGAAACACTTGAGAGTTGGGATATATGGATTCCTTAATGGATGGATATCTTTGAAGGATGACTGATTTAAAACTTAACAATCTACTTGGGAGTCAATAATGCTTTAATATTTAACCCATTTTGGAATGTCTGGAGACGATATTCTTGATTGCTTGTTCAAATTAGGTCACAACATGAATAGTTTGATTGCAGAAGTATTGGTCTGTTGCTCTGTTTGCCGTTATAATTGTAGTTTATCTACTCACTTATGATATGCAACCATTCCAACGAAGGTTAGACAATCTTTATCATGCTTCATTGGTCGTTCAATGGGAGGTATAGGATTATTTAATCTCATAAATACAAAAAAATACAATCATCATCTTCTCTTCCGGTGTAAATATAATCAATCCATGGGAAAGCCAATCCAAGAGGGAATATATTTGAAAGGTTGTATTTACCATAATTAGATTGCTATCAAGATTGTAGAATTTTGTAGAATTTTGATTTATTATTTGAAATTAATCATAATTTGAAGCATGCCTATTTATAACTTATGAAAGATGTGTAATTCAATGTTGATGCAAGAATGAATATGGAGATGAAACTATTGATTTTGAATAAATAAACAATTGAATGTATCAAACAACNAAAAGAAGAGTCTTTATAAATTTTGAAAAAAAAAAAACTCTAAGAGGTGAAATCTGTTGAAGTTAATTTTTTTTTTCCACCAAGACTGAAGTATGAGAATAGATTTTAAATTCAATATTCTCTGAGATATTATATTAAGACCTGGTGAAAAGTTTAATGTCGTCTCCTGCATATTAGGGGAGAGAACGACCTGATGGTGGATGTTGGGAGTGAAAAAATTTTTCACCTCTTACTTTTTATATTTTATACTTGTATATACATGTACTTTAATCGAATTAACCTTTGTATTTATAAACAAGCTAGTCTGGGAATTTCTGACCAAGACCCCCTCTTATCAGGATAAATAGCATTTGCATGCATTGCACATGCAATAAAACGGCATATATCCGGTATTTTTACTGTACAGTTTGAGGCTAATGATTATTATTAATATCTGAATGGGTGCAAAAACCACAAAGCCTATCTTGGTGCAGTTTTGTTGTAATTTGCCACAACTTCAAACTCAGAACTACTGAAGCTTA